TTGCTACAAAATACAAACTGTTGCAAAATGCACCTATTAGACAACACGGAGTGGGTGGAGATATGAAAACATGTTGAGCAATTTGTTCCTGACAGAGCTTTGTCATTGTAAAAGATTTCACTTGGTAGGAAACGTTTCTCTTGCCGAAGAAAATATACTATATTAAACAAAAGAGGAATGTCAATGAGCAGTTTTTAAAATGCGTAAGTACGTTTGAACTGTACAATTTAAATTTCTGAAAAAGAGGGGATTGAAGTGAGACTCTCTGGGACACAAAATGTATACTGTATATGTATAGACTTGCTATCTGCAGTATCACATGTTTCATTACAAAAACAAAAGTTCGTAAAGGTTCACAGTATCAATAACACTCTTTACTTCCAGTCAAGAAGTTACTCTCGCAGCCACAAAATCAGAACGGAAGACTGAAGCACAAAAGAGAAATCAGGGAGGAGACAGGAGAGAGTTGAGAGTGCTGTTGCGTCTTAACCCAGAGAGTAAAGAAAACAAATCTTCCAATCCTACCTGTCCTAGTCACAGTGCTCAGCAGCAGCAGAAGCAGCAGCAGAGGAGTCTTCACCCGGGGGTCTCTCATGCTACCAGGCCAAGAAGCAGACATAGTGCCATTGTGTGCGCCCTTCCTTCTGTATTGTCACAGCATCACACTTCCTGATCTGACCTAACATGTTAAATGGAAGGGAGAAAAAACACACACACACACACACCCACAAACCCTCAGACTCACTCGGATATGATGCAATCAAGTACTTGTCACCACAAGTTTGACGGCTTCTCAGCTACAGTACAATCGCATTCCTACTGTTAGGTATGCAGCCCTACTGAGTAAGTGTAGAAGCTGAACAAACTTTAAGGAAGGAAAAAACTCTTTTGTATGAGTGCAGCTGGTCAGCTATTGCTTAAGAAAAGAGTGAACTGTGTTAGACTGCTGACTAAAATAACAACTAGGCTGAAATTTGCTGCATATTTGTTAGTTGAGCTGGTTCTTGATTCGAGTTGATGGCATGATCATAAGTCACTCTTTGTGGTAAAGTGCTGATCATGAATTCGAGGGTCATGCTGTTAGGATTGTCTACGGGCGAAGGCTGTTGGTCTAAAAGGACTCTACAGTCTTTTCTTCATCTAACAGCAGAAAAATAATGGTAGCAGGTTACCACATGATGGCCAAAACTGGCATTAAAACACAATTTATGCCCTTTCTCTGAATACTGGTTGTAAGTTCGCAGAAGCACACAGAAGGTTAGGCAATCTTTGATGATTCTTGAGTAAAATCAGGCTAAATGGTAAAGTGACCAAGGACACTATTTGCTCTGCGAGAACAACAAGAAACAAGTAACAAAGAACAGAAATAAATCATTTCTGGCTAAAATAAATATAGAACTTGGGTCGCCAGTTAGCTCACCTGGTACAGCCTGAGCCCCCTGTCATCCTCTCTCTCTCTCTCTCTCTTTCTCTCTCCCACATTTCCTGTCCCTATTAAGCTGTCCTTTAAAGAATAAAGGCAAAAAGACCCCAAAAATAAAATAAATTTAACTTCATCATCATCATACAGTAGCCTATGGATCTAAATCAAGTATCTAAAACAGTATCTAGCACCTCCGTGACACAGTAGTGCTTTGAGTTAATACTAACAACAACATGCCAACATTCTTGCAATGACAATGCTAACATGGTAATGTTTAACAGATATAATGTTTACCATGTTCACTGTCTTAGCATGGTGTTTTAGCATGTTAACATTTGCTAATAAGCACAAAACACAAAGTACAGCAGAGGCTGATAAGGATTTCATTAGTTTGGTCATGAACCAAAGTACTGGAAACATTTTGACTTGATGATGGCACCGGATGAAAAGTTAACAATCACCAAGGTTATTACAATTTAGGGAGGGACATGAATGTCTGAAGCAAATATCATGGCTATCCATCCAACAGTTAGACCAACAACCAACAGCCATACCTGGATTGAAGCTGCACGTGTGGCTAAAAATAATTGGATCACTTATATATATATAAAGTAACCTTTATAAGAGGATTATATTTTATGTTTAATAAATGATTTACCAATACTTAATGAATTAGCTCTAAGCCATTACTAAGGATATATTTTGAAATGAAAAGCTTACACACCTTTCTGACAACAGAATACCAGAGTATACGATTTCAGCACTCATTACATGACAACACATTAAAATGAAGACTGTAATGAATAAAGCCTTAAGGCCTTTGGCTCAGAGAAAACCAAGACGAATGTGCGTTTTATAATAATGCCCATCTGTGATAGAGAGGACAGCTCATTCTGTGTGAATTCAGTATCCATGACTGCTGTCTCGCCCTTAAAAGACTTTATTTAACTAACTGAGTCACAACTGAGTCATTCTGTTAAAGGTGCAACTTCCTTCAGTCTGGTTGAGGCTCCTTATCATGTTTCAGTTGTCTATGAGTTGTTAGCAGTCAGCTTGTTCAGTGTCGGATGCCATGTGATAACTTGTATGACGGAAAGGAGAGAAAAAAACATGATTGTGATTGTTTCTGTATTGTCGTTTCTGAGTGTGAAGTGCTGGAGTTACAATTTTGTCTGAGTTGTTAGCACCACATTTCCCCTTTAAATTTCTCATGGTGTAATTTAAATGATTGACAAAGTGGTAAAAAAAACAAACCAAAGATTAGTGAAAAGTCCAAAAAGAAAAACACTTTTGTGAACAGAAGCTTTTTCTTATTTGTGCTCGTCATTATTCATATCACGACTCCTCAGATTTATCTCAGCACCTTTTGAAAGGGGCCCAGCCCCTAGGTTGGGAACCACTGGACTAAACTACCAAACCATGAAGTAACTGAAACTAGCTCCAGCTCCAGCAGCTCCAGCAGCTACAGTAAAATCTTGAAACTAATAATGTCATATATAATAACATATCAGTCAGAGGGGCAAGTACATTTCTTGATAAAACCTCTGGTACCTTTGCATTAGAAAGATTTTGAATGCAGAACTTTAGTGCAAATGTAAATTTACATGTAGCCTAAATCAAATTTTTTAGTCACCTACAGTTATACAAACGCATGCAAAATTCATTCTCTGCATTTAACCCGTCCTAATTAGGAGCACTGTACAGTGCAGGGTAAACGTGTATTTGTAATTATGTATTTTTACATATTGGCACTACTTCTAATGAAGTACTTCTCCCACAACATGACATCATTGTTCCCCATAAAAGTGTGAGGACTTTATCTCTTTGCTTAAGTGAAACCCATCCCGCATGTTTCTTTCTGTTTCTGTCGTGTAGCGGTTCTTTAGAAACGTGAGATCGCCGCAGACGCACATGAAATTTCCTGTTACACAAAAGAAAAGACACACATATCCACTTCATCGCCAAAAGCACATTGCCACCTGTACGTTAAACTGATATGTGATTGTTGAACCTCCAGTCCCACAACCCTTGCCGTAAAACGGCATTAATCTGCTCCCATAATAGCCTTCACTCTTCTGAGAAAGCTTTCCACAAGATTTAGACGCCTGGCTTCGGGATTTCACCTCATTTAGCCACAAGAGCATTAGTGAAGTTGGACACTGATGTTCAAGGATAATCTTCCAATTCTTCAAGGTGTTCGATGGGGATGAGTTCAGGGCTCACTGCAGGCCAGTCACGATCTTCCACATCAAACTGGGAAATGTCTTTATGGATCTCAGTTTTGTGCACAGGAGTTTGTTACTGTTGCCATAACGTTGGAGGCACTCTGTGGTCTAAAATGTCATCTATATAAGACTAGACCAAACAATGAAAACAACGCTAGATCAAAAGTACACAATGGTATGGTATGTGTGCCCTCATACTTCTGGCCACAGAAGGTGAAAGAGTTTGTCACATCTCAGATAATACAATTGACCAATTCAAGTTGGTGTGTGTGTGTGTGCGCGTGTGCGAAAGATAGTTGGTTGTCCTGATTTTTTTTTAAAAACTGATCGTATTTAAAACAAAGCAGGTCTTGTTCTGCATGCCTCATATCTGATCTCTTAAACATATGAACCAAACAAAGCCTGAGGTGCTGGAAAAGCCTGACTGTCACGACTGGTCCCACTGAAGCAGCTTGAACTAGACTGCTCTTCTCAGTACATGTGTAGAGATGATAAACTTGTTTGTTTTTTATTCTAATTTGTCTTGTCTTACCCCTGACTCATATATACGTCATACTTTGTAATGGCCGTTTAGAAATTAAGTGAAGCATAAGGAAAGTTATTTGTTTATAATGAATAATACCACATAATGCAATCACAGCTGTACTTCTTCAAATGTTCATCCATCAAATTATTGTAAATCTCTGTTAGAAGAAGGTAATGACATTATCTTGTTGAACGAAACAGCATGTCGCTTTCCAAACAAAGTTACTGTATATGTTTTAGTTGAAAAAAAATGATTCCCTTCAGATGCTTACATGACTAAATAAAGGAAACTATCTGTCCTGCAGTTCAAGTTAACTGCCAATTAAAACAATAGGAACTCACACAAGTTGTTGTGTAATGTCATTAAGTGGCTCAATCTCAATAATTTTTGATTTAATTTACTTATTTTGTTTGCATTGTACAACCCCAGTTAGAATTTGTAGTGTAATGTCTATTTTTATTTGGAATTTCATAATCTTAAAATAACTTGATATATTATTGTGTCAACGGATTTATTTGAAATACGTAGAGACAGACAAGACAAACCGAGTGCTGACCCGAGAGAGACAGGGATCATAAATAATCCAGTAAACTACACATCTCAAGTTTAGTGATGGATTTCAAGGTTTCATTTAAATAATATTGTATTCATTAAGCCGTCCAAATAAATCCAATTACAAAATACAAATTTCAATATACAAAGTAAAACAGAGTAATTTTTAAACATTTTAAACATTAATTTGCTCAAAATTTTAAGCTGAATTGATTTTGTGACGCCTTGAAGACAGGAACCGTTTTATCTTCTCCGCAACACGTCCGGACACAATTTGGTGACGGATGCGTCCACTTCCGTTACAGTTGTCAACAGAAAAGGAGTACGCGTGTTGTAATAGTGAAAATGGTGAGGCTGATGTGCCTTGTTTCTGTCAGCATAACATAAATGCTTTGCTATTTTAATGAACGGCTAGTTGGGTTTAACGCCGAAAATAGTTTTGATTGTTTTGTTTTCTGCTTGTATTTTTCAGCCGAAGGTTCAGAAAGGAAGAGCGGAGAAGGTTGTTCACCCGTTCAGCAGGAAAGCTGCTTACCTCGCCCGAGAAGAAATCAGACTGAAAAAGAAAGAAAGGTGTGTAGAGAAGAAATAAAACACCACATAATAGATGCGGCACGTTAGTTACGTTTGCGCACAACTGACTTCTCGTGTGGTCAAAAATACTAAACACTGGTGGAATAAGTACTCAAATATTTACTCTTAAGTAAAATAGCAATACCGCAGTGTAAAAATAAAAGTCCTGCATTCAAAAAAGTAAAAGTGTATACGCATTAGCATCAAAATACTACCCTAAGTACCAAATATATATTACATTTCAGATTTATATTTATTATATTTCTGTATTATAATAATTGATGCATGTATAACACATACATCACTAGTGTTGCAGATGGGAAATCATTTTAGGTTTTTTTTCTATTAGTAATCTGAATCTGTAAATAACTAGTAATGTCATATAAATGTAATGGAGTAAAAAGTACAATAGGCTATTGGCTTGCAAAATGTAGCGGATTGAAAGTAAAATGGAAATACTCAAGTAGAGTACAAGTACCCTGAAAATTGTACTTGGTACAGTACTTGAGTATATTTACCTAGTTAAGTTCCGCCACTGGTCAAAACTACTTAAAGGGGCATTATGTAGTTTTCAGTGGCCACTAGCAGTGCGGTTTTAAGATTGCAACCAGGCGTGTGCTCGTATGCTTGCTCGCTTGAACTCATGAGCGAGCATAATCCGAAACACAACCGCTTTCATACAGAAATCCTGCAGTAAATGCAGGAACACCAGCACGCAGGCTGTGGCGTTTCTCCAAACATGTTCAGGCTCTGTTACTTCAACGTTACAGGTGTCATTCATGCATATGTGTGTTAGTCACAGCGACTGAGAGGTGGAGAAGCTGCGTACCTGAGTATTGGTAAAACCACATTAAATCTATATTGAACGAAGCAAACAGCGGCAGTTCAGAGCTAATGTAGCGTCATCTGGCTGCTGGGGGTAGTGATGGGAAAAGTCCCTTTTTTGACAGACTCAAGTCATCAAATCTTGTTCATTAAAATGAACTAATCTTTTTTTGTGTCATTTCGTTCATTTTAAATGGCTGGTTATTGCGGCGGGGCGGCACGGTGGTACAGTGGTTAGCACTGTCGCCTCACAGCCAGAAGGTCGAGGCTTCATAACCCGGTTGCCCCGGCCTTTCTGTGTGGAGTTTGCATGTTCTCCCCGTGTACGCATGGGTTCTCTCCAAGTGCTCCGGCTTCCTCCCACCATCCAAAGCTAGGTTAATTGGTGTCTCCGAAATTGTCCTGAGTGTCTGTCTATGTGTGGCCCTGCGATGGACTCTGCGACCCTGACGAGTGAACGTAAGAGTCCAAGACTATTCATGCATGCGTGAAAATGAAGACTACTCGTTCCTCCTGAGTCATATACAAGAAGAGGTCAAATGAACGAAACGTTCTTTGAATGACACAACACTAGCTGGTGGCTGCATACACTATAGGATAGTAAACAATTTGCTTTTTACCATTACATTACATCATTTCTTGCAGGCTAAATAAACACTAACATAATACCAGTGGTACACAGGATAGTAATATGGAAAGCAATACAGCTTTGTTGTTGTTTTGTATCCTTACATGGAGCCTGTGTTTTGCTGGTGTTAGTGGACTGCATCTCGTTAGCTGCCGTGTTGTCTCTGTTGTCTGAGAGGCCTTGAGCGCGCACAAGGCTGAATCCGACCAGGTGTCCTCACATTAAAAGCAGAATAGTGGCTGATACAAGCAAGAGAGAAAACAGGCATGTGCTTCATTTCTGAGTGAGTTTGGAGCCCATTGACAATAAGGGAATGAAAATTTGATTTATTAAAATCAAAAACTTACATATAGCCCCTTAATAAAAACTGATTTGATTTTTTCTTTTAAACTCTGATTAGTATCTGCTACAAACCACAGTTCACAAACATATATATATTTAACATATAAGATCTTTACAGTATGTGTGTGTCAGTGAGCTATTAAGTACATGATTATCATTGGTATTTTCTAAAGGTATCAGTTGAATTTAACTGCAGTGACTTTGTGTTGTGTGACATTTGCTGAAGGTCACAACATATACAACCTGTAACTATTTTTAAATCAAAGATAATAAAGAGTACAGGAATACTTATGCAAAGTGAATCCTTACAGTTGAACCTCTCATGTTTCACCTAAATTCTGCAGGTCTGCAGACCCAAACACTTGACTTAGGTCCAAGTACTAAAAAGTGTTTAAACTTGACAAATCAAAAAACACAGTGTCACTTAGTTTTGAGTAGCATTTGCCGTAATCTACCCCTTGTGTCAGTATTCTGCAATAAGCCTCCTGGTATTTTGCAAAACAAAGTTCCAAATAACTTGAATGAATCAGAAAAAGGAATAAACAACAATGACACATTTGAAGGCCTCGTTCACATTAAGTCAATAAGTTATATACAGTGCATGGATGTAGACCAGAGCTGCAACTAATGATTATTTTCATTATTTACTCAATCAATTGATTAGTAGTTTGGTCTATAAAATGTCAGAAATTAATCGTGAAAAATGTTGATCATTGTTTCACAAAGCCCAGGATGACATCCTCGTATGTCTTGTTTCGTCCAAAACCCAAAGATATTTGTGTAAGAAGCTGATAACACATAATTCCGACTTTAAAAAAAAAAGACAAAAAGTTGGCCATCAATTTAATAGTTGACAACTAACAAAATAATCATTGCTACTCAAATGGAGACCTGTAGTAAGACATTGAATGAGAGAAAATGCAAACTTTACCCACTTGTTTTACTTTTAATAGTAACATACTTTTTAGTGAATCACACATACAGCAAGGCTTAAACATGTCTTCTGAAAAAAAGAGAAATGAACATACTTAAATATAATCGAACATTGCTTAATATACACTGTGGGAGGATCGGATTACTTTAATTTAATGGTTTCTCTGATGCTGCAGGCAGAAGACTGACAAAGCAACACGTCTGAGCAGCATTGGTAAGCTTGTTTATCATGTTAAACGTACTTGCTGGCTGTGAGGATGAAATCTCTCTCCATTAAACACCATCTCTTACCTTCATTCGCTTGTTTCTCGACTCACAGGTGAGAAGCTGTTGTGGTTTCAGGGACAGTTGGATCCAGAAAAGACCGCTTACACCAGGAAAGATGCTTGTGACGTCGTTGAAAGGTCAAAAATGGGGTCCATGTGTTCTTGGCCACTCGTCATTTTGCATCTGAAATGCATCTAAAACAACCTACTGTTGAAAACCTGATGTTGAGTGATCTTCTGTTTGTTTTTGATGTGTATGTGCAGGTACCTCAAAAGGTTTGATTCTGAACTGGAGCAGATTGAGCTGATGAACGGCATCAAAGGTCGGCAGGGTCGTCTCCATGGTGCCAGAGAGGCTGTCATCAAACAGACGATCGAGCGAGAGCGAGCGCAATATGAAGGCACTGGATTTGGTGAGCCCTCATAGTATAAATGCATGCACAACACATGGTATGAAACTGCACACATTCAGTTTTGGAAAATACTCCATGATCCTGTGTTTTGTCCTCTTCAGAGATCCCAGACATCATCAATGCAAAGCACCTGAAAACATTCAAGTGAGTGGATATGAGCTTGAATAATTTTTTGTTTTTTTTTTACAATCTATGTATTTAAAGGTTCAGTGTGTACGATTTAGTGGCATGTAGTGGTGAGGGTTGTGAATTGCAACCATCTGTCCAGTCTAGCACATGCCGTGATCTGAGAAACATTCGCTGCAGAATCCATTTGTTGAAGAGTCCTACACTTTACCGACTAAGCTGAGCTAAAGCCTAAAGATACTGATGTACTTAACTGTTTGAATAATTTCAAATAATATTAGGATTTATAGGATATGATTTGCACATGGGACACGTGAGGATTCATTAACATCCTCTCTGATAACGCTTGATGACATTTGTTGATCCTTTGTTTTGGCAGGGAGTGGACCGGTGACCTGAAGAAACTTCCAAATATCAAACTGCGAAAGGTGTCTAACAAAGGTTCGGACACAAAGCATGAAGAGGAGGAGAAACATGAGGCAGAAGATGATAATGAGAAGGACGAAGATGACTTGGATGATGAGTTGGATGAGATGGTGCTGATGTCGGACTCAAACTGAGGCTCTGTCGGTATCTGAGCTCCAGTCGTCCGTTCAGGACAGCTTACTGAGGAGCTGAACATCAGACTGGCCTTCAGCAAATGCTTTTTATAGACAAATTGTGTGCGCCTGTGTGGGGGGAAAGGGCTGCTACTCCAGGACTGTCCAAAAGATGGCGCCAAAATCTCTGATGGGAAACTCAACCGTTATTCTGCTGCCCTCCTTAAAGTCTTGTTGTTTCTCAGTAACTACACACCAGTCTGTAAGGGGTTCTACATTAATTGTTTATTGCACAGACAAATATGCATCGTATGTAACCTGAATATTCCATTTTATCCAATCGAAGATAGAAAAATGGTTTTGACACGGATGTTGAGTTCTCTAATGTTGTGGTGGATATAAGACAGAAAATTAAATGCTGAATGACGTGACGGTGACACTGGTACAAAAAAAACCCAAATTAACCTTTTAGAAAAGTGGAAACGTGTAAACAACAGTCACCTTTTTTAGATTGACAGGTCAGTCACTCACACACTGTGTCAAGTTGAATGTAAAAACATTAACAGATGGCAACCATGAAAGAGCTAGTTACATCAATGTATAAATAACGGGACCTTGCTGAGCAGGACCACGTAAAGCTGCAAACAGTCAAAACAAAACAAACAACTGGGTTAGTTGAGATGTGCTATTTTTGGAAAGATTCAAAACTTTCCTATGATCATAAATAAATTCGGCTTTTTTTTTGAAAACATTACATTTTTCAGATTCATTCTGAGCTAAAGTAACTATTTAAATAAGTGTTTCTCTATTTATCTGACTCTTTGGTGTCTGAAGACCTGATTGTCCAGAAGGAGAGTTAAGGCCTCAGTATACTTCAAACACAGAGCTTGTTGGATTGTCTAATTCGGCATTCAGACCAACCTCGCGATGCTTTCCTCGCGTGAGTACATTCGCTGCAACCGTTCACACACAACGCGAGAAGGCGATTTTAATGCGATTTTAATGCGATAACGTGAATAAACAACTCGCCATTACTACAACTGTATGAACCCAAAGTAAACATTTTGCTGTGATTAAATAGCAATAAACTGATTAAACTGATGCCGAAATAACTACAATATGATGCAGATTTGTTAAACATGAATTTGTGCTTGGTCAGGTCTGCCAGCAAGACAGCAGGACAACAACTTCTAAAATGTTTGTTTTCTGAATGGAGTTTGGATCGATCAGGGCTATGCTATGCTAACTTGGTCACAGTAAAGTACAATGATAGCTGGAATAAAGTTACAGACACATGTTTTCTGAACTCACCAGGTAGTTCAACCTCCTCGCTTTCTTTTCTCCAAGTAACATCCATTTATGTCCGGTTTTTATATACAGGTGCTGGTCATATAATTAGAATATCATCAAAAAGTTGATTTATTTCAGTAATTCCATTCAGAAAGTGAAACTTGTATAATGTATACATTCATTCCACACAGACTGATATATTTCAAGTGTTCATTCCTTTTAATTTTGATGATTATAACTGACAACTAATGAAAACCCCAAAATCAGCATCTCAGAAAATTAGAATATTGTGACAAGGTTCAATATTGAAGACACCTGGTGCCACACTCTAATCAGCTAATTAACTCAAAACACCTGCAAAGGCCTTTAAATGGTCTCTCAGTCTAGTTCTGTAGGCTACATAATCATGGGGAAGACTGCTGACTTGACAGCTTTCCAAAAGACGACCATTGACACCTTGCACAAGGAGGGCAAGACACAAAAGGTCATTGATAAAGAGGCTGGCTGTTCACAGAGCTCTGTGTCCAAGCACATTAATAGAGAGGTGAAGGGAAGGAAAAGATGTGGTAGAAAAAAGTGTACAAGCAATAGGGATAACCGCACCCTGGAGAGGATTGTGAAACAAAACCCATTCAAAAATATGGGGGAGATTCACAAAGAGTGGACTGCAGCTGGAGTCAGTGCTTCAAGAACCACCACGCACAGACGTATGCAAGACATGGGTTTCAGCTGTCGCATTCCTTGTGTCAAGCCACTCTTGAACAAGACACAGCGTCAGAAGCGTCTCGCCTGGGCTAAAGACAAAAAGTACTGGATTGCTGCTGAGTGGTCCAAAGTTATGTTCTCTGATGAAAGTAAATTTTGCATTTCCTTTGGAAATCAAGGTCCTAGAGTCTGGAGGAAGAGAGGAGAGGCACAGAATCCACGTTGCTTGCAGTCCAGTGTAAAGTTTCCGCAGTCAGTGATGGTTTGGGGTGCCATGTCATCTGCTGGTGTTGGTCCACTGTGTTTTCTGAGATCCAAGGTCAACGCAGCCGTCTACCAGGAAGTTTTAGAGCACTTCATGCTTCCTGCTGCTGACCAACTTTATGGAGATGCAGATTTCATTTTCCAACAGGACTTGGCACCTGCACACAGTGCCAAAGCTACCAGTACCTGGTTTAAGGACCATGGTATCCCTGTCCTTAATTGGCCAGCAAACTCGCCTGACCTTAACCCTATAGAAAATCTATGGGGTATTGTGAAGAGGAAGACGCGATACGCCAGACCCAACAATACAGAAGAGCTCAAGGCCACTATCAGAGCAACCTGGGCTCTCATAACACCTGAGCAGTGCCACAGACTGATCGACTCCATGCCACGCCGCATTGCTGCAGTAATTCAGGCAAAAGGAGCTCCAATTAAGTATTGAGTGCTGTACATGCTCATACTTTTCATGTTCATACTTCTCAGTTGGCCAACATTTCTAAAAATCCTTTTTTTGTATTGGTCTTAAGTAATATTCTAATTTTCGGAGATACTGAATTAAATATGATTAATATTTAAATAATATTAAATATGAAGTCGTAGTCCAACAGAGCTAACGACGCTAACAACAACACTGGAACCGGATGTGCACAGAAGCTAGCTGCTGAGAAGCTCCAGTGAAGATGAATCTACGTTGAAATCCAAAAAACTAAAGTAAAAAGCTAATTTAATAAAAGCAGTTAACTCCGAGCTTCAGAATCTGACCGACTACGGGTGTTTATTTGTCCAATGGTTGCAGCGCTGCTCCTCTCCCCAAGTAGCAGCTCTCAGCCGGCCAGCAGATTTTCAGTCCCCCGCTCTGCCTGGCCCTCTCCACACAACGCTCTTGATCCTCGGTGATGTACGGACAACACTGATAAACTATCGTGACTCAGTGTCATGCGACTTCTTCGCTTGAGTTGAAAATATTCAACTCACGCGAATTCCTTCACGTTGCCTTCGCATCGCTTCGCGCTGCCCGACAGGAAATCGCAGCTCTACACGTCTTTGCATTGACTTTGTATGTAAACTTACCGCCCCAAACGCTCGCTTCGCTTTTGGTCTGAAAGCACCATAACAGCATCTGATACCCGCTTTCATGTACGCCGGTTCCCGCTTCGGGTAATGGTTGGCCAGATGTGAGGTGGTGTGGAAATGGGTAGGGTATGCAACTTCTTTCCTCAAGCTCTCCTGTACATTCTTCATACTACACCCTCCCTCACGTCTGGTGTGTACAACCGAATGCAACAACATAAATGCTCTAAACTGTCCCAAAGTGTGCACCATTTTTTCAGTGACTCCCACATCTCTGACACCATGTTTAAGGTGAATGTTGCAATTTGGGAAAACAAACACTTCTATCTTTAGACATGGTCAGACGACGTGTCGTACAAACTACAGTTTGTTTAGCCTTCAGACATGGTTGTAAGACGTGTTGTCCGAGGTTTGTTTGAAGCATACTGAGAACTTTAATAGCATCCACGGGGTGTTCACACCCTTAACTCGTGTCAGTGCAGTTTGAGAAAGTGCATACAGGAATAAAACTGTCAATTTACAACACAACTGCAGTCTTTACAAACTTCTGCTCCCGATGGCTTTGTTTTCCTTTACTTCACCTCACCTCCTCTTCTCTATTTCTGACTTGCCACATTAGTCTTTACTTTGCACATTTGCATCATTGCAGTTCATTTGTCGTTGATCACTGAAGGACTTTAAGTCTGTCCATTATGACTCAAGATTAGTAATCACAGGAGCTGAGATGAACAACACTAAAACACTGTACGAGTCTAGATCCCACCATGCTACACCAGCTTGTGGCGATTGATGAGCAGGGTGTGATTCAGGACTCTTTCTGAGCAGGAGAAGAATTTTTCAGTTGGGGTTTTGTGCCGGGGCCACCGCAGCCTCGACTGACACGTCTGAATCCATCTGTGCCCCTGGAGCCGGGACGGGGGCCGGGCTGACTGGGACCTCCACTGTTTCTTGCCTGCCGTTGGTCAGGGCGCTGGGCCAGGACTGAGAGTTGTGCACGCCTTTCTCTGGGCAGTTCTGCACAGTGATGATGCGGTTGAAGGCCTTGAGGCGGCGCCACAGCTGCAGGTACACTTTACACTGGATGTACATGAAGATGAGACCACCTATGAAGCCTATGGCCACCACAATCAGCTTGGTCCAGAAGGGCCACTCCAGCACTTCTGAGGATGCACACACACAAACACATTGCGGCTGAAAATCGACCTGCAGGATGTGTGATGGTTCATGATCAGAGGTGTGTGCAGAGCTGTGCTTACCGTCTTGCGAATAGTACTTCAGAAGAGAAACTCTCCATAATTCCTCTGCAATCAAGAGTGAGTGTAATTTCTCCTTATTTCTATGATCTCTGAATAAACATGTATGCTATTTATGATATACACGGAATATATATTAGTGTTATTAATATATATCTGTGTTTGCTACCTTTAGCCTTAGGTCCTACAATATGAGAATCATAATACAGATACACTATGATCACAGCACGACACATCACACCATCAACAAAACAACAATGAACTTACAAAAGCACAGATGTAAATCGTGACAAACTCATAAAGGAGAAGCAGATGTGTGCGACCATCAAGTGACCTGCCAAAGTGTCAGTCAACGAAAGACTGGTGGTTTTGCATGTTTAGTTTATGTCACATGGGTGCGGCGTAGCTCAGTCTGTTAGGATGAGGCTGGAAACTGGAGGGTTGCCGGTTTGAATCCAGCTTGGACCAGAGTTGTGGAGTGTGGACTAGTAGCTGGAGTTCACCTCCAAGAACGCTTAAGACTAGACCTGTGTGTAAATACTAGCAATAGAGTGAAAACATTGAATTTCCCTTTGTGAGATTAATTAAGTATTTTAGAATAGAGATTTGTGTAATCACAGTGAACCTTCAGCTGGCTCTGTTTTTCTCAAATGTAATGAGATTATGAGCAGAGACCGAATGAAACCTTGCTGGTAGATTCTTGTCCTTGTGGTGAACTCCATCTGAAACTCGTTTGTTTTCTGGGTTTCATTTTCTCTTGGTGTTGAAGGAAATGCTTTTTTCTCATTGCTATCTGATCATAATATATCTCACTCTAATGTATGATTATACGTTAACATAAAAACATGGGTAAGTGTTCACTTTGATGGATCATCTATGTGATACAAAACAAAAAGTCTTGAAAGCAAGTATATTTTCCAACCATTAACTATGTGAAAAACAGGAATTCTATCAGAAAATGTTTATGCAATAAACAGTTAAAGAGACATAAACAATATATATACAAATCTAGTGAATGTGTCTATTTAAAGTCATTGTTGCTTCATTTTAACTGCATTTTCAATTTTCACTGGAAACATCACAAACTGGCATGGGATGTGCACGGCCCAGGAGCGGAGGGCTCTGAGGGGTGATTAAAACTTCTCAGAAGATCACTGGTACCAATCTCCTGAGCATCAGTTATATCTGTGAGTTGAGATGCCTACAGAGCCCCAAGCTCTCAGACGTTTATACTAAAATTCATCCTCAGCACTGCACTTGATTAATTGTAGTTTATTTCTGTCCACTATTTTTATGATTGATTTTACAACTTTACAACCTGTTGTAATGTGACAAATAAACCTACCTTGTAACATGAGCTTGTTGTAATTTTGAGATAACATGGTTTAATTTAAGGCTTTGTATGCATCAATATGTGAAACTAGGTAAAACTGCACATGACGCGGACATATGTGCAATTGTTCAAGTCTTCACTATGGAGCTAGATCCCTAATGTGCAGAGGGACACTTATGGATGACCATCGCAGCAAGTGTATAGGCTGGGAGATTTATGCTTTACAACACACACACAAAATTTTTTCACTAGTTTCACTAAATTTAGAGAAAACATGAATACAACACGTGACCACACAGGAAGCCTATCGAAATGGCATCACCAGAGTCAAACAGCTGTAAAGATCAGCAGGTGAAAAAGTTGACGGTACAATGTGGAGTTTTTGACCAATAGGTGCTGCAATGTTTTAATGATCTGATGTTGTTTTTATTAGGTGTCTTTTTCCAACGTTTTTTTAGCTAACTGGAAACCTGCATTTCACTGCAAGCATATGTAAACAATGCAGTTTCAAAAAATGTATGGTTTGCAAATGTTGACTGAGGCAGGAAATGAATTAACATGTTTATTGTTTTTATACACACAACACCTTTATGTGAGTAATAGTGAATGTGAATAAAACTGTTTAACAATTAAAACTCCCCATGGTACCTTTGATTTGGATCATAATACTGTTTCATTGAAGCCAAACATCAACAAATTTTACCCTGCGTGTCTCCGGTATGTGAAAGAGGGAGTCGGGCGAAAGTACTGACCGTTCTTCCCAAGTCTGATCTCTTCCGCGGTTCTTTTCACCAGAACGTAGACTGACCACAACATACAAACTATTGCTATCAGATGAAACAACACTGAACAGGAAATCTTCCTCCTCTCACTCTTGGACATGTGTAGCTTCTCCCACTGGAAGACAGAGGGATGGAGATGGGAGGGGATGAGAGGCAACATTGGTTGAAGGCGGAGGGAGAGAGTGAGAGAGAGAGAGAGAGAGATGGTGTTGTTACATTATTACAGCCTGATACTTTTGACTGGTAGAGCAGATCCCAGTTCATAGTTGTGAATGAGGTTTATGAGCTTTACCTTGCGTAAAGGTTTGAGTGTCGTCTCCATGATGAAGTCAAACTTGCAGAGTTCACAGCAGCGAGTGTCTGAGGATTTGATCCACTGGTTGAGACATGCCTGGTGGACGAAACTCAGGCTCCCCGTGCAGCGACAAGGCATTATCAACGGGCACTCGTCATCCCCCTCACAGTGGCAGATCCTACACACACACACACACACACACACACAAACACAGAAAATAAACACACATAGCAGACACACACACACACACACACACACAAACAGATCAGAACAGGCAATGAAATTCAACCTCTGCACCAGGGACGTGCACAGGGGGGTTGCTCTGGTTGCCCGGGCAACTGCCCGTTTGCCTTTCCTGACTCAAGTTGCCCTTCCGACTCGCCCTTCCGAGAAAAAAAAATTAAATAAAAAAATAATCGCGATCGCAAAGCCTCATTCACTTCCATTCGGGCACCGAAAGTGAAAGTCAGTAGGGGAAGGGCAAACTCTGTTTAAGTGGCTGCACTGCTGCAGCGCTGCCTGCACGTCAGTCGATTCTGTTCCCTACCGGAATTCCTGTTTCCTTCCTTTATGCAATTATACTACAACAAATCATGCGTAGTTTTGCCCAGTTACCATACGTGATACGTACCAACAGAAGTGAATACGAGCTAGAAGCGCAACTGAATGTACGGGAAGCCAAAAGGTTAAAAAAGGATTGTATTTTTTTCCGAAATCTAAGCGTTTTTTTATTTAATATTTTATTAGAAGCGAGTTTTCCCCATCTGTCAATTCAATCTAGATTATTTATTTTCAAATAAAAAAAGGAAAAAAAAATAATAATAATAATGATTAAAAAACAATAAACAATAATATAAGGAACTCTTTTTCTCATATGTATTTTGGTGACATTTATATTGTTAATACATTTTGGATACTGTGTTTAGTGCCTTTTTTCAGGTCAGAGCAACTGCCCTTCAAAATTCCTGTGCACGTCCCTGCTCTGCACTACTTTGTCTAAGTTGAACTTGAACCTGATATTGACAGATGATTAGTGCACACACCCACACTCATATAGGCTCACAAACATATGCACTAACCTGCAGACCTCCAGCTCAGAGTCATCAGAGCAGGGCTGCGCTGTGCCTCCATTCACACGGCAGTGTTTTTGTGGTGTTGGCACTGACATGTCCCCACCCCCTGACCCCTTTTCCTGGTATCTCTTGGTGATGAGCTCCTCGCCGTCCTCTGCCAATGAGGAGCTATCTCCTGCGTTGCGTGACTTGCATTTCTTATCTCTGCCATGTGAGCCTTCCCTTTGTGAAATGTGGCCGTCTCTCTTCATCGAGGACCTGCTGCTGTGCCGCTTTTTAAGGCCTCCGCTGTCCTCCACCAGAGCCTGGTTCTCCTTCCCTTCATTTGAGCCCACCGACTGCAGCTCCATGACCTCTGCTTTGTTCGCTCCATCCCTCTCTCGGCTGCTTCCACTGCGGCGCCGCACTCTTCGAGCTTTCTCTTTGCTCCACTGCGGGCTTCGCGCCACGCCTCATCGTCTGAGGTGGAGTCTGACTCGATGGCCCCTGAGCAGCGGAGGCGAGGGGGAAGCTCTCTCCGGTTCTTGGAAGGCCGCTCCCTCTTCTCCCCCTTCTCACTGCGGTCAGAGCTGAGGCTGCGGTCAGTCTGCTCCTGTTTGCTGTTGGTTTCCACGCAGTCGAGGGTGGCGCAGCTGTTCCTCTTGCGGCGGTGACGACGCTTCACCTGCTTCTTCTGGGCCTGAGCTGACGAGCCCAGAGTTGTGCTGTTGACGGTCATCACAGCAACGTGTGTGTGCTTGCTGTGTTTGTGGGATTCAGAAGTATCCTCCTCTAAGCGGGTCAGCTGGCCAGGGCTGAACACACACACACACACACACACACACACACACACACAGATGGAGATGTGTAAAAAACAATAAAAGTGAAATGAGATGGATAAGACATGAATGTGATGACATAAACTAAAAAATGGTCTGAAACCTGATTGTAAGCCGACAGAATGATTTGTCTTTACATGTACAGATTCTGATTTGGATTTCATCTGTGGTAGTATTTGTAAAAATTTCATTAAAAACTATTAAGAATCTATGTCCCCATTACTCTGGAAAACCATATCCACTTTTCACAGGGACTATTTCCTTATCCTTATCAAAAAGTAGTTCACTATGAGATCTCCTATTTATCAGTAACATTTCTAGAAATATGTCAGTCTTGCTGAAAGACTGAAATAATACATATATATATATTAGGGCTGACCCCCAATAGTCGAAAATTCGAGGCGAGAGAGAGAGAGAGAGAGAGAGGGAGAGAGAGAGAAAATGGTCAACAATAAGCTTCAGTTTAGCTTCGGCTCGCAATCGGCGCGCACAAAAACACACATGACATGATTCGACTATCAGTCGACTATAGGCAGGACTTGACGATTCTGATTCGACTATGTAAATCCTTAGTCGGGGATAGCCCTAATATATATATATAGCTCCTGGATTGCTCAGTGGTTAATGCCACTGACTTTGGTACAGGTGATTGTGGGTCGATCGATTCCCGGTCAGGTCGGGGTATCCAGGTGGACCCTTAGGCAAGGTCCTTAATGCTACCAGCCTACCTCGGGCATGAGTGAAACCGCAAATACAAGAGCCATACCGGCTCGGACCTCGCCCGGGTCAACAAGGTCTGCGTCAGCTACTGGAACAAGCAATCCCGGTGAGAGAGGCCGGGTAATGAGTATGCCATGAGTTTGAGCTGGAAGTCCCAAGGTCAAAATGGAAGACACCTCCTAAGGTAGTTGAGAATGAATGAGCTAAGCTCCTGTGGGATTTCAAGATCCAGATTGACAAACTGGTGATGGCTAACCAACCAGACATCGTGTTGATCGACAAATAGCAGAAGAAGGCAGCAGTGATACATGTGGCAATCCCAAGCGACAGCAACATCAAGAAGAAGGAACACGAGAAGCTTGAGAAATACCAAGGGCTGAAAGAGGAGCTAGAAAACATGTGGAAAGTAAGAGCAACAGTGGTGCCAGTGGTAATCGGAGCACTGGGAGATTGGCTACAGCAGATTCCAGGTAAAATCTGAGAGGTCTCTGTACAGAAGAGTGCAGTCCTAGGAACAGCTAAGATACTGCGCAGAACCCTCAAACTACTGTGCAAAAACCCAAACCCGGGTCCCGAGCTTGAGGCTGCACATACCACCCCGCAAGGGGTGAGAGGGGGATTTTATTTTATTTTTTATATATACATAAATATGTATATATGTAATTCTAGTGAATTTCAACTGTCACTGGGCAGCATCCTTCAGAGATATTAGGATTAGGATAACATCCAGCCTGCTTCCATATTTCTGGATCACATCTCCGATTTTTTCAGTGATTCATTTAGGTCTGTATGACGGCTGTTTCATGTTTAAATAATGACTGGTAGAGCTAATCAGAGCTTTGTAGGTAAGGATGGCAATGTCATTCCTATGAGCAAGAGCAAAATATCCAACGTATGAGATGCAGGTCTACAGGTTGCAACTTACAGAAGCATATTTTCTGTGAAAATACGGACGGATATGGCTTTCACTTTGTGTGGTTAGGACAAAATAACTGAACAACGTAATGGGACATGATGTGTGACTGAATAATGAAAGAAAATGGCTATTTAGCCCTGATTATCAGGCTGGGTAATCAGAATAGTAAATGGCAAATGTAGAATGATTTGATCATGATATGTGACAAATGGAGGTCCAAGCATCCAGGCATCGAGTCCAAACTGAAAACAAACACAGCGTCCTTTCAGGACTAAGCCTGTCGCCGTGACGACCACACCACCAATTGATATAAAAAACTAAAGGCTCTGCAATCAGCCATCTTTCTCCACTATTGGATTTCAGCAATTTAGTTAATGCCCTCGGGGTGGGGCAGACCATACTAATTGAGTCTCCCAGAGAAGCAGCTTTAAACTGTACATGTTAACATCACAGAGAGCTGTGGCTGCTCTGGTGCCATTTCTTTGCACTTTCTGCCCAACTGACTGTATTTCTGGGTAAATCTTAAAGAGACAGCTGTCTTACCTGCATATGTCCTGAGCAGACGGGGTGATTGATGTTCTTGAAGCTGTGGTGAGTCCTGTTGTAGAATTGCTGGCCTGAAACAACAAACGGACTCAAATTAGCGTCCACGCTTCTATGCAAGTACAAAAATCTGTCACTGGTCATCAACTATCACTAGTTTTTCTAAATATCACAACATCTTTACACACTAACTAATGATTTCATAATCAAAATAAAGATTGTATTTAATGATAAAGCATAAACATGAATTATCTTAAAGCTGCATTAGTTGATTTTTGGGGAAAAGAACCCAAAATAAGCTGACAAATCCTGACCTTTTTTGGCCTTTTAATGTTGTTATTGCTAACATGTTAGCATGCAATTGCCCACATACACATCCAGCATCCATAGAGAAACACTGCCATTCATTCTGAGCATTTCTTTATTTCTAGCCACCTGACAAATTGAAGCCCAGTATTCACTCTCTTTTTAGCTCTGCTTTGGCCTCCACCAACTCCTGAGAAATGTATCTGAGCCTTGAGCTGTTAGACATTAGGTTTTTGACATTAGCTAGTTGTTAACTTTGTCCTGATTTATCTTTAGACATATACAGTCAATTTGGAAAAAGATGCTAATAGGTGACCTTTACAAATATTGTAAAGGTTTATTAGTACAACCCTTCCATATCATACATAAGAGGAGCTTAAGGCATAATTCTGTGTCTCATGAGACATACAACAGTGTGTACTTAGAGCAACTATATATTGATTGGTTAGTAAAACACATTCTTGCACATCAGATTCTGCTTGGATAAATGATGCTAACATACACTCTGAACTGTGACCTTGATTTTGGCCCTTTACACTCGCTAATATTCAGCGGTTACCTTGGAGATGTTGCTAGATCGACTCCCTGAGCGCCCGGGAGCCTTCCTCCCCTGCAGGGAGAAAATCATTAGAGAACACAGAGAATGGCACCTGAGTAGCCTGCTGTTTTCAACCCGGCCATTTCTTTGGCACACAAGATATAACCTTAATAAGACATCCCAACAATATTTCACTGCATTCATGTCAACACAGGAGCAAAGGGGGACGTGATCTGCTGAAGAACAGTTATTTTTGGTTAATTATTTAGTCTATAAAATGTCAAAATGTTTTAATAAAAATATTATAAAACACAGAAAGGCAGCAGATCTTCACATTTGAGAGAATAAAACCAGAGAATATTTCCCATTTTTTTTATTAAAAAACATTTAAAGAGTTTGTTTAATCAACATTCTTTTCTGTCAATTAACTAATCCAGGGGTTCCCAAACTTTTTCAGCTCAAGACCTAAAGAGAAATTTGTTGTCTCAGCGGGACCCAAACTACTGATAAAGAACACAACAAACCATGAATTTAAGATCTGTAAGCTGGAGTGGGGAGTGGGGTCAAATATATCACAGCAATAATCAAATTTGTTGAGTGTAATGTGATCCTGCCAGAATAGGATCTCCCAGATTGGATCTGGCACCTCCTTTGTCACTATCTGCCTGCCTAAGGAGCTGCTGGTCCACTTTTACACAGCCATCATTCAGTCTGTCCTCTGCACGTCCGTCACTGTCTAGTTTGGATCTGCCACCAAAAAGGACAGGAACAGACTACAAACGGACAGTCAGACTGCAGAAAAACTCATCAGTGCCAAGCTGCCCTCCATTCAGGACTGATACATTTCCAGAGTCAGGAAACGGGCAGAAAGCATCACTGCAGATCCAACTTCTCCCCTCTGGGAGGCGCTACAGAGCACTGTACGCCAAAACTTCCCACAAGCCATCACTCTGATGAACAGCTGATTTCTGCCTCACAGTGTCAGGAACAACTTCTGTGCAATAACCCAGTAACTCTGTCTCCAATCAGCCACCTGTTTACTGGTTACCACTTATTATTTATTCATCATTCTCTATTTCAGAGCTGTTCATGCTGTTATATTGTCATTTTGTATATTGTATATACTGTATGCCAAATCCACCTACCTCAAGTATATAACACCTGCACATAATACTTATTTATTCCGGCATCCTTTGCACTCTACTCCTTGCACTATTGTGGCAATCTGTCCACACTGTTTTTGTTTATAGTGTGTATATACAGTATGTGTTCTCTATACTGTAGCCTGTGTGTGATTTTATTATTGTATTATTATTGTATTGTAAGTAAGCACATTGTGAGCAATATACAATCCTGAGTCAAATTCCTCGTATGTGTACACGTACCTGGCAAATAAAGCTGATTCTGTTTCTGATTCTTATTCTGATCAAAATCTGCAAGGCCCACATATATCGCTGTATGCTGGCAAGTGTTTTAATGCTTTTTGGTGTCTAAATATTTTAGAATGTGATTACTGTAAGCCCAACAGCTGAAAAAACGGGGCGTTTGTGCTATGAAAATGTGAAATGTCTCTGGCTA